ATGCCATTCGTGTATTCTTCTGTTTTCTACCTGCTATTTATATCTCCATTCTAGATTGATTAGAGAAGGTAGCTTTTAAATTTTGACTTTACTGATTTTTAAGACTTCTTCTATGTCTAAGAAATTGCAATGCAGTGAGTGTTCCTTGATGGTTCAAAAGACTGAATCCTTCTGCTGTTTGTGGCTAGTTCTCTGTTTCTGCAGGCCTGCTAAGCATAAGTGGTTCTCTGTGCTGCTCATGGTGTGCTTTCCTTACTAACATCTTGTCTCCTTTCATTACCTACCACGGGCTATGGGATATTGAGGTTTCCCAGCACCACTGTAGATTATTTTTCCTACAATTTTGCCCAGAGTTGCTACATCTTTTTGGAAATTGTTTTGTAAAATATTTCCATATTGATCAGATAGCCTTCTACTGAATGAGCCATTTGTTTCTGGTTAAAAATATTCTGTTTTATATTCAGATAAATTTCTATTTTTCCTACAGTAATTGTGACCAATGCTCTTCCTTCTGGCTGTCCGTACACATGACATATCTATTTGTGAGTTTGGGGGTTTGTTTCTGCTTTGTTTTGCTTTGATTTTCCTCCACAACTCTCCTCCCACCTGGATTCACCTCTTTCCTGTTTCTCATTAAAAATACATAGGCTTCTAATGGATAATAAAATAAAAGAAGATTAAACAACAACTAAAACATCTGAATAAGACAAAAGACACAGTAGCAAAAGAACTTTACAAAAGGCATAAGAAACAAATACAGACACGGAAACTCATTAGTTTACATACTTAGAAATCCTACAAAAAGGTAGACTGGAAATCATAGCACATACCCAAAGAGCTTATAGTTTAAAAGACACTGTCTCTGTGTGTGGGTGTGTGGGTGTGGGTGTGCACACGCGCGCACGCACGAGTGCACATGAGCGTGCACACGTGCTCTTTTGTACACACATGTTTGTACATGCGTGTGTTTATATTCTTTGTTGCCCATGCCCTGCTGTGCATGTAGATACAGCACCTCTGAAGGATACTTCAGAGTAGTTTCCCAATGGGACTCTGTTTAAGAAAAAATTTAAATAATAGGTAGTTATCAGTTGGAGATTGCTTCTGGATTGGGATTTGGGAGATGTGTCTACCTTTCCTTTCAGCTCTAGGGCCCCATCTGTTACAAACCCTCTTCAGGCCCTGTGCATTCTGCCTCCATCTCTGTGAGTTCAAATACGCTTCAATACTTTCGATGTAGAGGCCTTGTTTCCTTGGTGTTCTCCATGCCCTCTGTCTTTTGTATTCTTTCTGCCTCCCCTTCTGCAGAGTTCCCTGACCCTGAAGGGAGGTATTTGGTAGAGACATCAAGTTTAGAGCTGAGTGTTCTGTGATCTCTCACTCTCTGGGTATTCTCTGGCTATGAGTCTCTGTATTTCTTCCCATCTGTTTCAGGAGGAAGCAATTCTAATAAAAGCTGAGAAAGGTGCTCATCTATGAGTATAGTGAAATATTTTAGGAGACTTTTTATTGCTATTGTTTGTTTGCTTCTTTGTTTCTTTGTTTTAAGAAAAGTTGTATTTGATTTTACCCTTTCTTGCTAGGCTATATACTTTCTGGAGTTCCTAGTCGTGCAAGCAGTGTTCTGTATAGGTTCTATCACCTGGAGTGTACTTTCAGTCAAATCAGAGATTGGTGTTTTACTCCCTTGGGAATTATTCCACCATTGCCCTAGCATATCTTGCAAGCAGGACACTATTGTAGACCATAGGGTTTATAACTGGGTTGGAGATTACATTTCTCCATTACATAGTCTCCTTTAGTAGAGTGCACAGTACCTCCCTGTGTATAAGATGCTAGTACATAAGTGTGAAAGCTACATGTAGAAGCCAATTCCACTTTTCCGGAACATAACCTGGGTTGTTTGGGTTTTCTCCTGGGACCCCTTTTGCCAACAACTCAGTTATATGGAATCGATTTTACTGGTACTGGAAGCTTCACTTGTGACAAGAGATACTGAGTTTAGGCTGTGTCTCCTCCATTATGCCAATTTCATTTAGATCACCTTCATATATGTATATATTTTAGGAAACTTCTACTCCATTCAGTTTCCATACTACCCTTCTTGTGGCCCTCAATTTTAGCAATTTCTCCCCAAATACTCTCCCTTGTTCTTGTCCTGCTCTTCCCTACTCCTCTCTACTTAAACCTCCACCTCAGGAATCCTGATTCCATCTATACCTATTAATTCTATTATCTATTCACAGGGAGAACTAACTGCACCCATAGTCTTGTACTCAATAGCCATTCTCTGTGGTTCTACAGAATGCAGTTGGTTATCCTTGACTTAACAACTGATAGCCATATATAAAGCAAATACATAGCATACTTTTATTTCTGGGTCTGGCCTCAGTGAGAGACAAATCCCCTAGCCTCACAAAAACTTGAAGTGCCAGGGTGGAGACCAGAGAGACCCCCAATCACTCAGAGGAGAAGAGGATGGGGATAGAAGAAGGATTGTGGGAGAGGATGTCAGGGAGCAGTGAGTGGTATGTAAAGTGAATAACTAAGAAAACTATAATTCAATTTAAAAAAATTGTGTTGGAATTTTGATGAGTATTGCAATGAATCTGTAGTTTCCTTTGGTAAGACTGTCATTTTAACAATGTTAATCCTACCTTTAGATGAAGAGGATATATCTTTCCATCTTCTGATGACTTCTTCAGTTTCTTTCTTGAGGAACTTGTAGTTCTTGCCATATAAATCTTTCACTTTCACGGTTAGATTTATACCAAGATATTTTGTAATATTCATGGCTATTGTAAAGGGTGTTATTTCCCGATTTTCCTACCTCCATTAACACAGCCTACAAAATTCCCCATAATCACATCCACAGGGCTGACTCCTATTAGATCCTGTATCATATCAAGGTAGAAATGTTGACTATCTCGGTGCCAGATACTCAACAACTTCAGAGCACAATGAAACCAAATCTTTAGGCCTTTTCAACATTAACCCCATATGTTGTTACAGTACCATTTCTTTTATTGTACACCCCTTCTTACTTCTGTTTCACTTGTGTAACAAGCTATAATAAATCTAATAAATACTGTATTGTAATTACAAATTGTTTGCTGAAACTCCCATTGTCTTTAAGTGAAATAAAGACTATTTGAAGAGAATGAAAGGTATAATCTTGTGTTCCAGTATATATTATTCCTTTATTCCTTTATTCCTTTATTTATTTATTTATTTATTCACTTTACATCCCTGTCACAGGCCTGATCCTCTTTTTTCAGACATACACTCACCCTTCTTCCCATTCCTTTCTCCTTGTCTTTTCTCAAAATGTAAGGTTGCCCGTAACTACCAACTCATCCTGGAATAACAAGTCACATCAGGACTAGGTTCACTCTCTCTAATTGAAGCCAGTGAAGACAGCCCAGCTAGTGGAAAGGAGCTGAAAATGAAGTAACAGAGTTAGAATCAGCCCCTGCTCTAGAAGACCCACATGGAGATCATGTTCCACATCTGCTACATAACTATAGGGGGCCTAGACACAAAGCATACATGCTCTTTGGTTGGTAGTTCAGTATATGTGAGCGCCCATGAGACCAGTATAGGCGGCTCAGTAAGTCTTCTTTTGATGTCCTAGACCTTTCTGGTTTCCTCAATGCTTCTTCCTGCTCTTCCACAAGACACCCTGAGTTCTGTCTAATGTTTGGTTGGGGACCTCTGCATCTGCTTCTGTCAGTTGCTAAATGAAGCCTTTCAGAGGGCAATTATGCAAAGCTCCTGCTGCAAACATAGCAGAGTATCATTAATGATATCCAGGGTTACATCTCTCCCATGGGAAGGGTCTCACATTAGAGCAGTGATTGGTTGGCTGTCCCTTCAATCTCTGCTCCATTTTTATTCCTGCACATCTGGTCGGCAGTATAGAAAGTTTTGCGGGTGAAGTGGTGTCCTCTTTGCTCCACTGGAAGTGCTGCCTGGCTAGAAGAGGAGGTGACATCAGCCTGTATGTCTTCTGCTGCTAAGCATCCCAGCTACAATCACCCAAATAGATTTCCAAAATCCTCCCCTTGTCCGAGGTCTCTGGCTTATCACTGAGATGCCCCCTTGATTTCCCTACCCTGTCACAGGCACCACACCAACCCAATTCCCTACCCCTTTTAAAACCCAGTTCCTTCACTTGATCCACCTCAGATGTCTATTTTATTTCCCCTCCTCAGTGAGATTCAATCATCCTCCATTGAGCCCTTCTTGTTACTCAACTTATTTCAGTCTATGGATTGTAGCATTGTGATCCTGTGCTTTATGACAAATGTCCACTTATAGCTCATACCATGTGTGTCTTTTTGGAACTAGACTGCTTCAAATCAGGACGAATTTTTTTTTCTATCAAGTTTCATCTATTTACATGAAGAACTTAAGAAACTAGGCACCAGCCGGGCGGTGGTGGCGCACGCCTTTAATCCCAGCACTCGGGAGGCAGAGGCAGGCGGATTTCTGAGTTCGAGGCCAGCCTGGTCTACAGAGTGAGTTCCAGGACAGCCCGGGCTATACAGAGAAACCCTGTCTCAAAAAACCAAAAAAAAAAAAGAAACTAGGCACCAAAATACCAAATGACTAGATTAAAATGGGGTACAGAGTTAAACAGAATTCCTCAACAGAGGAGTCTCCAATGGCTGAGAAGCATTTAAAGACTCTAGACAACCAAATAACCCAATTTTTAAAATGGGGTACTGTGGGGCTGTGGAAATCCTGGGGTGTTTGTCCACGCCCCCGAACCCAGAGACCTGACTCCATATAACATGCAGTAGGTCACCTAAAGCCCAGGTAGAGGGCGGGGGAACAGGTCTCTGCCTCAAGATTTACATATTACCTAAAGGCCAGAGTGGAGCGTAGTCACCTCCCAAGCCCCTCCTCTCCCCAATATAAGGGGGCCTCTCCTGGCATTTTTTGGGAGAGCGCACCATCATTCAGACTCATCACCATGTCTCCCCTTACAACAGCGGTCAGTGCACCACCTTCTCGGGGCTCCTGGGAGACTCAGCCGTGACCGCCTGGCGCGCAGCGTCCCTGTGCCCCTGTTCCCGGGACACTGCCATCACCGAGGCTCTTTCCCCACACCCTTGGTTCAATGGCGGTCTGCGCTGTTGAGTCCCGCCAGGAAGTGCTGTAGCACACGCGACAAGCGTGAGCTGTCCCGGGCCCAGGCCACACGACCCGCACGAGTTTTGAACCACAGGGTACAGAGCTAAACAAAGAATTCTCAACTGAGGAAACTCAAGTGAAGGAGAAGCACCTAAAGAAATGTTCAACATCCTTAGTTATCAGGGAAATGAAAATCAAAACAGCCCTGAGATTCCATCTCACACCAGCCAGAATGGCCAAGATCAAAAAAGATCAAAAACTCAGGTGACAGCAGATGCTGGCGAGGATGTGGAGATAGAGGAACTCTCCTCCATTGTTAGTGGGATTGCAAGCTGGTAAAATCACTCTGGAAATCAGTCTTGCAGTTTCTCAGAAAGTTGGATATAGCATTACCTGAGGTCCCAGCCATTCAACACCAGGGCATATACCCAGAAGATGCTCCAATATTCCAATATATAACAAGGACACATGGTCCACTATGTTCATAGTGGCCTTATTTATAATAGCCAGAAGCTGGAAAGAACCCAGATGTCTTTCAACAGAGGAATGGCCACAGAAAACGTGGTACATTTACACAATGGAATATTACTCAGCTATTAAAAACAATGAATTTGAGAAATTCTTAGGTAAATGGATGGAACTAGAAAATAGCATCCTGAGTGAGGTAACCCAATCACAAAAGAACACACATGGTATACACCCACTGATAATTGTATATTAGACCAAAAGTTTGCAATACCCAAGATACAACTCACAGAACACATGAAGCTCATGAACAAGGAAGACCAAAGTGTGGATGCTTTGGACCTTCTTAGAAGGGGTAACAAAATATTAATGGGAGCAAATATGGAGACAAAGTGTAGGAAAGAAACTGAAGAAGGGGCTGTCCAGAGACTGCCCAACCTGAGTATCCATCCCTTGTGCATTCACCAAAGGTAGACATTGATGTGGATACCAGGAAGTGCATGCTAACAGGAGCCAGATATAGCTGTTCCTTAGAGGTCTGCCAGAGCCTGAAGTATACAGAGGCAGAAGCTCACAGCTAACCATTGAGTTGATCACAGGGTTCTCAATGGAGGAGTGAGAGAGAAGACTGAAGGAGCTGAAAGGCTTTGCAGCCCCATGAGGAGAGCAACACTACCAACCAACCAGAGCTCCTAGGGTCTAAACAATCAGCCTGGGAGCACATAGGGAGGGGCCCATGGCTCCAGATGTATAGGTAGGGGAGGATGACAGTGTCACGCATAGATGGGTAAGGAAGCCCTTGGTCCAGTGAAGGCTGGACGCCCCAGTGTGGGGGAAATCATGGGTGGGGAGGGGAGGTGAGAGTGGGAGGGTGGGTGGGCATATCATCATAGAAGCAGGAGGAGGGGGATGGAATAGGGGGTTCCTGGGTAGGGGGAAGGGGATTACATCTGAAATGTAAATAAAATATCGAATAAAAAATTTTAAAAAATGGAAATGTTCAATATCCTTAATCATCAAGAAAATGAAACTCAAAATGACTCTGAGATTCCATCCTATACCCATCAAAAACTAAAGTGCCAACACAAGCTGCCAAGGATGTGGAGCAAGGGAAACACTATTCATTTTCTGGTGAGAATGCAAACATGTACAACGATTTTTAAAATAAATTTCACAATTTCTTGGAAAATTGGGAATATTGATGCTTTCCACTGAGAAATATATTTTTTACTTAGTCTTCTATTATTTTATCAAGATTATTGACTAGAAATGAAGGCATATGCATTAAATTTTTGTTTATATATCATAATTTCATAACTTATAAATACCAAAATTCCTATTTTAGTTTTCATATACAATATTAAGAGCAAAATTCTATCCAATAACTTTATATTTAGCCAACAGTGAGTACATAAGTAATTAACATTAGCTGTATACTTACTAGATAGTGTCATCTTCATAATAATTTTATGACATCTTCCATATACTACAGTATCCTTAGCTCTTTTCTTCTGACATTATACACAAGCCATTTCAAAACAACTCATTAATATTGACTAACTTTTTCCACATGATATCTCTACATCTGCATCCAGCTTCTTAGACTTCAAACTACACTAATTTTTAATATATTTTGGATATATTATTTTCTAATAGTTAATTATCTGTAATGATTCTATTTTTATAGAATACATATTTCAGTTACCTAATATATAATCAATATTGACTTAAAATCTGGCCCTTGTCTTACAAATATGTAACCACAACTATGTCATCTCATGGCTGATTTGCCTATATTCACTTCAGTTTTGTGACTTAATCACAAGTATTATTTCCATGTGTTACCTACATCACTGACCTGTGAACAATATGACAACATAAAATACAGCATGTCCGTTGATTTTATGCTTGACAGGATAGTTGGACTCCAAAAGAATGCATATTTCTTAAACTGACCATAAAATCTTTAAGCACTTGATCATTTTCAGTAACCTATCTGTGATAGGGTTATGAAAGATTTGTATTTTCAGTATGATATATATGCTGATGGAAATAATAACAAGTAATAACATGGGAAATTTCTGAGAAAAATAATACTTGCATAATATTTAGCTCTCAGGCCTATTTATCTGAAAAAATACACTCTTTCATGTGTATAGTACTAGTCAAGAAATGTGACAGAAGAAATAGTATGTTTTATCTAGGAGCAATATTACTTATCATATAAATTGAATAAAATAAAAGGATATTTTATCTCAGGGTTTTTTGTGTATATAATGCATATGGAACAAGATAGTTAATCTTGTTAATATGCATATAATGCATATGGAACAAGATAGTCAATCTGAAGCATTTTCTCCCAAGGCATGCAATGACCTGTGGTGTTGGAAATCTCATTGGCAGGACATCGGGAACAATCAAAACAGCAGTCTGCTTTTCCTTCCTGGTGATACTTCTTGAAACCAGGATGGCAAGGCATACTGCACACAGAAGTGGAAAACTGAGAAAAATCAGATATGTGTTAATAACAGAAATTTCTTTTCCCATCCATACTTAATATCTTTCAACATCTTGACATATAAATGAACTTATTTTCAGAATACTTAAAGTTGAATGTTACCAGTATATAAACATGGATTCTACTACATAATAGCATATATACTTAAATTAATTCATGAAAATATATAACACTTCCCAAAAATGAAAAATGAAATCAATAAGGGGGAAAAGTGCCACTTAGGAGTTTGACTAAAATTAAAATTTGACACAACCTACCTGTCTACTTCCTGTGGCCCGCTCTATCATGTCTTCAGATAAGAACAGTTGTTGATCATGTACCAAATAAGGAGAAAACTCTCCTACTTTCACCTTTAGTACATGACCTTGTGGAAAGTTCAAAACATTGAGAATGTCATATATTGCTTCAAATTTTCCTTCTTGATTAATATTCACTAGGTATCCTACAGAATCAATAAATCTTATATTCTTCAGAAAGGCATTTACCTAAAAATGCATAACATTATGATTAAATATGTTTATACATTAAGGCAGAAATGTTCTGTGGAGAAAATTTTTTACTTTTTAATCTCTCTTTCAAAATGCAACCTTAATACAAATCACTAACAAACATGGTAAAATGATATTACATGTGTTGGGGGTTCATTTATGTGTACTGAGTATCTCACTAAACACAAATATTACTGGTTTATAGCTTTGCTCATTAGCCATTGAACTTTGTGTGTGTGTGTGTGTGTGTGTGTGTGTGTGTGTGTGTATGCGCCAAGGTTTTTTTTTCTTACTTGCCAATTCTAGGATTACAAACAGACAAACCCATGCCCAGTTTGTAACCTAGATGTTGGTATTACATTTCGGTCATAATTGATGTGGAGTATGTTAACTTTAAATGTCACCTTCCCACAATCTAGAGTCATATTTACCTGCATACATCTAGGTATTAATCCTTTCCAACTTTTCAGTACTTGACTATCTACTTGTTGAAGAAGCATGTTGTGAAAAGCATGGGCCACAGCATACACAGCATTATAGATGTTGTAACGCTCATCATTCATGGCCATGTCAAAACTGTGCCGTGGTAACCATTCCAATGTGGTATTAGATGAGCAATGAGTCAGTGCTTTACAGTCAGATACAGATACTGAACAGTTAAAATACATCCATCCCAATCTCACCAGAGAAACATCTTCTGGGTAAGCAGAAAAGTTTGTTCTCTGGATGAAATGTTTAAAAGTAGAAATCTCTTGATAATGGTGTGACAAAGACAAAGTCCCATGGAAAGAGTCAGTGGTGAAATCTCTTGATCTTGAGATGAGATCCCATTGTGAGGTGGTGACCCATAATCTCCGTATGCCTAAAGCTTCCCATCTTCTATAGCTCACTTCTAGAGTAGAGTTGTTGTCACCATAAATGATGACAACATTTGCTGATGATGTCATTATTTGATAATAGTAAGTCTCTGCCCTTTCTACGTATAACTGTATGTTTACTGGGATCACGTTCACAAAAGCTAAACAGAATTCTTTGCTCCTCATTTCTCCTTTCATATCTGAGAGAAACTGAGCACCCTGGTCATCATCTAAAATAACCAGCCCCACCCATTGCCAGCTGAAATGAATCATCAAGGATACCATGGCAAGAACTAGGCTTGTGTCCTTTGGGGCGATCTGATATAGATGAGGAAACATATCACGATCACTCAGACTACCATGAAATGGTCCATATGTAACCTAAATAAAACAGAACACCAGAAGCAACATAAGAAACTAGACTGGCAAGAAGTTAACTCTAAGATCTGAAATTCAAAAGCATCATTTGCAAATAGGAGGAAGAACTATTTGTTTACCACATTGAAATAATGTTTTCCTTCCTTTAAGTTGGAAAACTACTGACATTTCTCAGTAGTTAACAAAATCCTTATTTCTGAAATTTCTATTTTTCTATCAAAATTAATGCAATAATGTTACTTTGAAATGGGTTCAAATGAAATGGGCTTTCTTTTCTTTGTAACAAATTATGGTTATGCAAATAAGCACAAATGATACCTCAGGATTTTTCAAATATACACAAGCTGCATGTCCTGAGCTCCATCTTCCACTGGTGTGTGCCTGCACCAGTGAGTCACAGAGCAGCGCACAACACTCCATCCCACAGCTATACCTGCCTTCCAAGAGGTAGGCTCTAACCTGATACACACAGATGAGACCTGATCACCACCCCACCCCAATACCCCTACCTGCCGGGATCCAAGCCTAGAAGCCACTCAGAGTTTCATCTTCATTCCAGTACACATCTGCAGCAGCAATGATCAGAGACCAGAAAACCATGCCCCACACCACAGCTCTGACTATGTCTCAAGAGTCCAGCTCCAACATGACATACACAGCATTCCTAGACCAGCATACTACTCCCCAGTCCACAGCTCTGCCTACCTCCCAAGAATCAACCTCTAACCTGACACACACAGCATTTACAAATCAATACACTACTCCCCAGTCCACAGCTCTTCCTGCTCAAACCCAAAACATACAGCTCCACCTGCCTGGCAGGAGGCCTATTTGAATGCAGGACACTCATGCTAACCAATACCAGAGACAACTAGATGGTGAAAATCAAGTAAAGAAAATAATCAGCAACAGCCAATGCAATATGGCACTATCAGAACCCAACTCTCCTTACTACAGCAAACCCTAGATATCACAACATATCTGAAGAGCAAGACAGTAATCTTAAAAACCATCTTATGAAGATGATACAGGCCTTTCAGGAGGATGCAAATAATTCCCTTTTAAAAATACAGGAACATGCAATCAAACATGTAGAAGCCTTTGGAAGGCAAACAGAGAAGAAATACAAGAAAATGAAAACAAAAAAGGTAAAGAAAATAGTTCAAGCCTAAAAAGCAAAATAGACGCAATAAAGAAAACACAAAGGGAGGTAACCCTGGAGATGGAAAACCTAGGAAAGAGAGCACAAATACAGGCCCAAGCATCACCAACAACATATAAGAGATGGAAAAGAGAATCTCAAACATAGAGGATATCATAGAAGAAATTGATACATTGCTCAAAGAAAATGCCAAGTGTAAATGTTTTTAACCCAAAACATTCAGAAAATTTGGCACATAATGAAAAGACAAAAATCTAAGAATAATAAGAATAGAAGAGGATAAAGGTCAAAGGGTCAGAAAACATCTTCAACAAAAACCATAAAAGAAAACTTTGCTTACCAAAAGAAAGAGATAGCCATACACATACAGGAAGCCTATACAACACCAAATAGATTGGACCAGAAAAGAAAATCTTCCTGCCACATAATAATCAAAATACTAAATATACAGAACAAAAAAATGAATATTAAAAGCTGTAAGAGAAAAGAGCCAAAGAATATATAAAAGCAGACCTGTTGCTCAGTCTTGTTTATGAAATAAAAAGTGGGGAGATGTGAAAAAAGCTTTTGGAGCTGCTTGGCAGGAATTGACTTTGACCAAGGACAAGGAAATGGGCTGCTTGGCAGGAATCTGACTTTGGCCAAGGACAAGGAAATGGGCTGCTTGGCAGGAATCTGACATGAGGCTAGGACAAAAAAAGTAATTTCAGGTAAAAATATAAACCTTAGGCTAAAACAAAGAAGTAGGCTCCAGGCATGAAAATGACTTTGGGTTAGGACAGGGAAGTAGGCTCAGATATTTTGGTAACCCCGGTAAGCCCTTAGAAATAGTGATCACAGAATGATCATGGAACTTTGTTTATTGCCTTGCTTGTTCTTTGGCTATTTGTATTTACTGTCTTGCTTGTTCCTTGACTATTGGTAATTCCTGAACCTAGAACTGACCTTAATACTTGAATGTAATTAAAATGGTATAAAAGCAAAAAGGAGAGAAAGATGGATGGTATAGGGGATTTATGGAAGGGGAAATGGGGAAAAGGGATAACATCTGAAATGTAAATAAATAAAATATCCAATAAAAAAAAAGCAGACCTTTCAGAATTATACCAGTCTTTTCAACAGAGACTCTAAAAGTCAGAAGATCCTGGACAGATACCATGCTGACCCTAAGAGAACACAAATCCCATCCCAGGCTATGATGCCCAGCAAAACTCTCAATCACCATAGGCAGAGAAATCAAGGTATTCCAAGACTAAACCAAATTTAAACAATATCTTTCTAAAAATCCAGTCCTACAGTTGATACTAGAAGAAAAAGGCCTACACAAGAAGAGTATCCAAGAAAACACAAGAAATTAATCATCTCATAACAATCCCAAAAGAATAGAATCACACACACCTAATACCACATCCAACAACAACAAAAATAACAGAAACTACCAATCATTAATATTTCTCAACAACAATGGACTCAATTCCACAATAAAAGAACACAGATATGTAAACATATTCATCATTTTGCTGCAAAGAAGAACACATAGCTCAGCAACAAAGATAGATTCTATCTCAGAGTAAAGGGCTGAAAAAATTTTTTTCAAGCAGATATATCAGATGCAAGAAGAGACAAGAGAAAGGCCCAGTGTATCATGAGAAGGAATGGAAATCTGCAACTGCTTGGGAAAGATCTCTAGGAAGTCCAGAGACCTGGGATACGAGAGGCTCCCAGAAGTCAATGTGGCTGACCTTAGCTGAGATGCCTAATAGTAGAGGCCAACTATTAGAACCTGTAGAATAGTAGAACCTGTAGAGGCCAACTCCTTTAGTCATGCAAGACCCCCAGTGGAAGGATAGGGATACCAATACACTCACCAAACTTTCAACCTAAAATATGTCCTATCTAAAAGAAATGTAGGGATGGAGCAGAGGCTGAAGCCCAACTCAAAATCAATCCCATGGACAAGCATCAATCCCTGACATTATTAATGATACTCTGTTATGACTGTAGACAAGAGTTTAGCATAATTGTCCTCTGT